CACTTCCTCTTCCTCCATTTCTGTCAGCAGAGAAAATCAGAAGTAGTCTGCCTTCATCTGCCTTCATTTTCCTATATGAGGGCCACATAATCTCTCCTTCTCTCTGTTAAAATTTGGTGGAGAATGACCTTGATTATATTCATATCCCCCATAAATCCACATGCCGGTCCATTACACTTATGACGATATGCTAAGTAGACTTGGTGAGCAGGAAGTGACAAGCATTAAAAGTGAGATACATATACAGAGGGCCTGTCACATCTTTGATGTTTTCTAGGAGTCCAGTGGTTTGGGCCTGTCAGCACATCATTTCTACAGTGAGAAACAATTATTGTCCCTTACACTTTCCACCATCAAGAAATATATAGAATGCTTGGTAGGACTTACAGGATTTTGGAGGCAACACATACCACACTTGGATTTACTACTTTAATTCATTTACCAGGTAACCTATAAGGTTGTCAGTCTCAAGTATGGTCTAGAGCAAGAAAACACTCTGTTAGATCTAAGCTCCAGTGTAAGTTGCTCTGCCACTTGGGCCTTATAACCCATCAGACACAATGGCATTGGAAGTTTTTGTGGAAGCCAAAGATGCTTAGATTTTGGAATAAGGCCAGTCCCTCTTCTGAGAACCATTCCCAGCTTGAAATATCACTCCCAACATCCTAACAGGGTTAGTACAAACTAAATGCCTTGATTATGAGACACTAAGTGACATGCAACCTAAACTGCAAGTCATAAAAATAGTGTTAACTGATGCATTGAATCCTTAAAAATGGATATAAGGAATGATATCCTAAAGATTCAGTTACTGTGCCAGTTGGGAGACAGCAACCTGTAAGATTGTGGTGCTGTCCTTCAGGCTAAACCTTAAAGCTGCAGTCAGTAAATGATGCCCTCTCCCCCATAGCCAGAAGTGGAAGTTGCTCCTCTTTCTATTATATCTAACAATGCATTGAAGGAATTTTTTCTTCCTGTTCTCACAATCTTGGTTTTGATGAGTTTAGAAGTCCTACTACTCAAGGATGGACTATTTCCACCAGAAAATGAAGTCATCGTTCCATTAAATTGGAAGTTGAGACTGATTCTTAGCATTTGGGGCTCCTCACAAACCAACAGGCAGAGAAATAATGTCTGTACTGACTGGAGTGATTGATTCTGAGTAACAAGGGAAAAGTGGGTTGCTAGTACACAGTGGAACTATAGAAAAGTATTACTGGAATACGAAAGATTCACAGAGATGCCTCTTTTACTCCTTGGCCAAATAGCCATAATCTATGAAAAACTGCAATAAATAGAATATCACCAAAGACTCAGACCCTGCAGTGATAAAGGCTTGAATAATTCCACTAGATAAAACAAAATCCATTCAGTCAAGATCCTGCAGATGGCAAAGGAGGATAAGGAATTTGCTATGGAAGAAGAAAATTATGATTATCAACTTAGAACTCATAAGCAGCTAGAAAATCAGGAACTGAAACATGTTATGTTTTACTTTGCTTCTTTTTCCCATCTCCCTGCTCCTATTGCCTTATATAAAAAGTGATGATGGTGGTTATTATTTTAGTTTCAGGGATAAATATAGAATTGACAATACCCCACAATTAGATGATAGCTAATGAGAATTTACATGTTCCCCATGTTGGGACATGAATATTTTATCTGGATAAGTGACAAGAGTGGATGCTGCAGAGAAAAGGGAGTAGATTGTGCTGGATATGCTCTGCCTGGTTCTTGAGAGCCACTCTTCACTCACTTATTGGTTCTGCTTGTACCAGGAGGCCGACCTTTATGGACTGCATTAGTGCACTCCTTTCCCTCTGGCTTCTAGTTGAGTTTGGCCAGTGGGAAACACTAGAAGGAGATTAAAAGACAAGTTGGTTTTGTCCCTCTACCAAAGGTCACAGCTCCTGTCAGGGAAAGTCCTCATTTATAGCTAGTCCTTCTAGGTTCTGGGAATTATTCTTTCCCCTTGCCTCTTCAACACCAGAGGTTATGAAGTTTCAGCAGTGCTGCTAGTCCTAGTGAGCTTCGCTGAGAGTTGTTGATTCTTATTAGCCTTTCTTACACCTTATCTTTGGTCGCTTTATTAATCTTCTTTCATTGTCTTGTTTAAGGGTGCCATCTGTTTTCTGCCAAAAACTTGAGTGACACATCAAACATCATTTCCCCCTATTTATGCTGAGCAAATTTTTGGATCCACAGGGCCAAGCCATATTACTTTTCATTCAAGTATGTAAGCTAGAAACCTGGGAGTCATCAGTGACAAAACCCCTTGACACTCCTCACCCTTAACATGCAATCCATAATTATTTTCTGTCAATTCTATGCCAAAAATATACCTTGATTTTCTCTACTTCTTTCTTTCATCATTGCCACTTTCCCAGTCCAATCTACTATCATCTGTAGTTTAAACTACTGAAATGGTCCTACTGGTCTTACTACTTTCCCTTTTGTCACCCTGTAATATATTTCCCTCATTGCAGCCAAAGTTATCTTTTTAAAATACCACTCTGGTCCCATCCATGGCCCCGCTTAAAACCCCTCAGTGGTTTCCCATTACTTTATGTACAAAGTTTTTTACACAGCCTACAGAATACCACATGATCTGGACTCTGCCTATTTTTCCAACTTCTTTTCATAAAATTCTCTTTGCTGAATGTGCTCCAGCCCCTCTTTCTTTCACTTTATCCAACACTCACACTCCTTCTTGCCTCCAGGACTTAGCTCCAACTTTCTTCTGCCTCAAATGCTCTCCTTACGTTTATGTAATTTATACTACTCATCTTTCAGCTCTTAGCTCAAATTTCACACTCTAAGACTTAATAAATAGTCCAGGATTCATCCCCGTTATAAACTCTCATAAGCATTCTATAATTTTCCTTTATAACAAAATAGTTCGATTATTTGAAAAAAGTCTTTCTCCCCCAACCCAGGAAACGATATGCTTGATAGGGGCAGGGTCCATGTCTGTTTTGCTGGCAACTGCGTGCATTCCCAATACCTAGCACAATGCCTGACAAATAATAAATGATGAATGAATAATCATGTGGGGTGGATGGAAGGGAAAGGTGACACAAGTTATGAAGCCTAAAACTATGCTTCACGGAAGGGCTTTTGGATAGATGACTGCACATTTTTCTGGTTGACACAGATTCTGGGCTCTCAGTTAGTGGGCAGATAATCAGAGAGCTAGTCTCTGTCACATATTAATTCCTCACAGATTTCAGCATCAGGTTATTCAGTTATACTTTTAGTATTTTTGAGGGTTTTTCTCCTTTTAAAAATTAGTAGTGAAAATTTAGGAGAGGCTGCACTAGGAGGGCTGCTAGTCTTATGCTAATTTGTACTGTAGCAATTGGGACTTTTGCTTTTTCATTTAGCCACTTTTACCAACTTAGATAAACTATGCATTTCACTGGATGGAGCTTCCATCAGGATATTGCTCTTTTATGTACTAGGATCTCCTTCTTGGCATCATATCCTCTATTTTGTGTGAAAATCACCTTTAAAATTATTGGAAGTTTGGCTGCAATTGAATAGTTGTTCATGTAAGAAATCCCTGCTCCCAATTACTCTTTTTTCTTCATTTTTTTCTTTAGCTATTCTCACCCATTTATGCTTCTAAATGAACCTTCAAAATAATTTTGCCAAGTTCCAGAACCAACTCTTTTGGGATATTGCTTGAGATGTGGTTAAAACAATAAATTTAATTGGAGAAGAATTTATCTATTTGTAATGTTCTTTCTTCCTTATTTACTGAATACTTCTTTTATATCTCTTAATTCAGTTTTATCATTTTCTTCATAAAAACTCCATACATTTCTTGCTGATGCTAGTTTATGTCCCTGTTGTTATTGTAAATAGAACGTATTTTTACCTGCCGGTATGACACTTTAATTGGTTGTTGGTGGTATAAAGGGAAGCCATTGGCTTTTCTTTATTTTATACTGAGTCTCCTTATTAATTTTGAGGTTTTTGATTAGTCCACTAGTGTCTTATATAAAAAACTGGTCTAGTAATAAACATAATTTCATCCCCATTTAAAAAGTGATAATTTTTATTTGTATCACATATTATTCCATTGACCACAATGTCTGGAACAACAACAGATAACTTCAGTAGTCACCATTCTTTCTTGTGTTTCCCTGTGGGGCATGATGCTGACTATTTATGATAAACTTGGGAAGAATGTACTTCCCTTTTTCTAAATTTCTATATATATATTAAAACAAGGAATGGGTGTTGAATTTTATCAATACCCAACACTTTCTACATATTCTTCCTTATAAAGAACTAGTTCCTAAATTTACCAATTACTGTTATTATTTTCTAAGTATTACATATTTATTTTCCTTGTTTATATTTTAAGGTTTGTGTTATTGTTTTATTGCTAAATTCTTAAGTCAAATGTTTAACTTCATTAAAAAATAATGATAGCATTTAAGGATATGGATTTGACTGGGTAGTTTTAGCTACGGGAATTGATCAATAGTCACTATCAGCAGATGATCAATGATATCAGGAACAATTTTTCACCTAACGCAAGGGAAAGAGTTTATAGTACTGGCCCTCTTGGTATGGAGTTTATACTTTCAGATACATGAGTAGAATCCATGGCATGTAAAGTTCTTAAAAGCCATCAACATCTTATCCAAAGATAGTCCTTAGCGACCTATTATAGCTGTATATAGAGGTTTATGTTTTCTATAAAAAAGAAAACACATTAAAAGGTTTAAGAGTGCTATGGGCTGGAAGACTTTTAATAAATAGTGGAATTTACATGATAAGGCAATTATGGAATATTTATAATAGATTAATTGATATAATGCCAAAAGGGGAGTAAAACATGAAATTACAAAATATAAATGTGTAGAGGTGGGAATGAGGACAAAAATAGGCTAATAACTTTAAATTTGTTGCAGGTACACCAAAGTAAAATAATATAAATTATTCACATTAAGTATACCTAAATCATGAAACAAAAGAAACAATTGTTAATATAGTAAAATTTATTATAGGGTTGTAGAATTCATACAACCTAAACTCCTTACAGCATTCAGCACCTATACAGTTTTGTGGATTTCACAATACAGATATCAGTGAGAAAGAATCACTGCATTAGTGAAAAATGACTTTCTCATGAAAATTGTTCACATATAAATCAGATTAATTACAGAGCACCTAACAGAAATGTAAAAATGTAATTTCTAAATTCAGGAAAGTTGCACAAAATGAAAAACAAAAAAAATATTAAGAGAGTTGACATGCTTTATACAAAAAGTTCAAAAACAATTTTAAATATTTCAAATTTAAAAAATGCTCTATCATATTGTTGAGTGAAGAGCTTACTTTTAAAAACACAAAGGATGGAACTTATTGTCAGGATGTTAGCTGACACATTCATGCTGCTTTCAGAAATCTAAACCCTATAAATTCGAAAGAAAAAATAAGAATTATTTAATTTTAGCTTCAAACAACAAGCAATGTCAATCAAACTAAAATTTGATAAGAGCTTGCAGTGGTTAGTAGTTTTTTTTTTCCTTTTTTTTAAAGTATAAGCAATAGAGTTAATGCATAAGTAAATATCTTGAGTATCCCATAAACCTTAATGTTGAAGCCATATCGTAAATCTCTGACTTCTTATTACTATGGATACTCTTTATCTGTTGCCTCTCACTCTTGACAGATCTTGGTTTCAACAATAAATTCGTTGGGGAAGTGTCTAATCTTCCAGCATTTATCAATGGCACGTTTGTTGAAACCTGTGAGGAAATGCACAAAAAAAAGTGGCTTCTGAATTTTTTTGTGTGAATGAAAAGATATCTAGACTTGCTCTTCATTTTCCCCTGCACCCCATCCCCACACTCCTCTACTATGTAGTACAGGGTGAAGGAAGGAATAAGTTGCCTACCCAGCAGGAGGTCTCTGCGACGAAGGCGGAAGGACTTTCTGTTGTTGCAAAGTTGGTAAATAAAAATGCCAAGGTTACTAACATCACGTATTTCCTCCACAGCAACCAGGTCTTCCCGAACCACGTAAGTGTGGGGCAGGTATTTTCCACTCTAAAAATGAAAAAAAAAAAAAAGATTGAAATGAGAAATTCTTAAAGACGCTATTTAAATTCTTACATATAACAGATAATACTTTTAAAAACTGGAGTTTATTTTTTAAAGCAGCGCTAGGTCCACAGCATACTTTTTATTTGAAAATTATTTTGATGAAATCGAAAGTTTTGGCCAAACTCATTAATTTTTTTTAATCAAAATTATTTGGAAATGCTTATAGAAAAATTTGACTTCCAAAATACATACTGCCAGTCTGCCAAAGAGCTCCACCAGATTCTTTGGAGGCATAACAATGGAGGTATTGAGGGGCATCAGATAGCAGTTTCCCAGCAGCAAGTCCAGGTAAGCAGTCATGCCCTGTTGGGGAGGGGAAAAAGTTAGGTAATACACTGAAGGTATCCATACTACAGATTTTCTAATTACCATTAGAATAAGCAGCTACATTTTTCAAAATCAACTAATGTATATTCAACAGCAAAAGAATGAAAAGGCTTTCCTTATAAAAGATGTACATTTTTGAATGAATTTAATACCTACCAATGAACTAGGAAAAGGGGAAAATTCCGGAATACCTATAAGAATAAGAAACTAACCTTTTCAAAGTCATGAATAATTGCTGCAGGATCACTATCAGAGAAACTGGGGACAGGAACATCAATGATTGCAATGTTGTCATCCTCACGAATGTCAGCCTCCTCCGTCACAGGCAGGAAGTAAGGCTCTCCTCCATGAAGGGAATTAGCAGGATCCTCAGAATCAAAGAAACACATCTCTCCACGGTAGATAGTGCTCTAAAAAACAAAAAGGGGAAATTAAAACTTTCTGATATTCACTCCCATGACATTTGAATTGTTTCTCACACTCGCATCGATTCATTGTACTGCGTGCTAAGCTGGGGCTTGTTGATTACAGTTATCACCATGAGGACAAATCAATTTTATGAACTGAAAGATAATTTGAATACCTTCCCTAAATCTTCATTTCTCTAGTGACTACTACAAAATTATTTAAGTTGCTACTAAATTGTACAGCAATTATCAATCCAAAGTATTAGAATAATTATTATTACCTTGGGCATGAAGTACTTGTAAATGCAGGCTCCGCCAACAATAAGTCCTGCCAAGATGAATGAAAGGCCTAAGAGAGTAAGCATGCATCTCCCAGAGGAGCCATCTTTTTCCTGAGTCGCAACTCGGAGCTCCTATTTATTAAAAAGAAAAACCAAAAACAAAACCAGATTGCACTTTTAGACAAATAGTTACTTTTGTGTACAATTTACCTCCCTCAAAACCCAAGATATTTAAAAAAAAAAATTAAGTCATGCTAGTCTAAAATTATTTCAAGACAATCTCTGATATCTAATAGATGTAAACATGTCTCCAATTATATTATTTTTCCTTCTGGTATTTCCAAACTCAAATATAAATATGAAGTTATTTCAAAATATACACTTCTAGAATCAAATTAAAATTACTAAATCACTTCTGTAATGCTGTATTATTTTTTTATTGTGTTAAGAATACTTTAACATAAGATCTACTCTTAGCGACATTTGAAGTACACAATACAGTGTTGTTAATTAAAGGGAAAATGTAATACAATTGATCTCTAGAAGTTGTATTCTTTAAATAAATAGAAGTAGTTACTTTTTGGACTAGTAAAGTGATATAATCACTAACGTTCTGTAATATACCATGGTTCTTTACTAATTTTTACAAATCAATTTGTGTGCCAACTTAAAAGAGAATTAGTATCCTTTATTAATTAGTTTTCAAAATGCTCTTTTCTGAAAATTAGATTTTAAAGAAAGGAGTTCTATAAGGCAGTTATATGCCATTTCTCCCATTTTAGAAATTAAAATATTGAAGGTAGAGATATATTTGCTAATGTTCCTAATTTTATCAAGAAATACAAAGCTTCTTAATGTCACTCAATATTCTATAGCTGTATATTGCATTAATGAAATATTTTTGAAGTCCTAGGGAAAATACTAGTTTTAAAGTATAGCTTTTGAGATAGCTAAACACAAAAGCAGTCTAAGTAACAGTGACTGTAAATTTCTGTTAAATAAATAATTTGCTTAGGAATTGGAACAAGAAAGATTCAAAGCAAACAAGTAACCGATTAACTGCACCCTTACCAGGGAAGTGGGCTCCAATCCCTCCGATTTCATTCTTACACGTCATAGTACGCCCTAAACAGCGTTATTACTCAAAGGTAGAATAAACGGAGTCAGTAAATGTAGGCTCTGGTAATTAAAGGGTGAATCATTCAGACTGGTATGTAAATAGAATTGCTTTAGTGTTTCAGTCATTAGCACTTTTTCAAGATAATCACTATATGTTTATGAGCCCTTACTAAGTTTAATTTGGTGAAAATAAATGCATGGGTTTGAAATTAACATAGAAAACAAAGGACAGGCAATCATTTGATAAATGTTTTTTACAAAAGAAATGTTTTTCTTTGAAGGCCAAAGAAATTTTAGATTCACATTTTCTTAGCTAAATTTATTTAAGTTCAAACCCTCCATTTAGTACTCTACAAACCTTGAAGGCTTTTCTTTGTCCTAATAATTTTCAGAAACTTTTAATTATTTTTACTGAATCTAATTGACACTATAAAGAAAGAACTACAAATTTTGATTAGAAATCACTGAAAGCAATCTGGAGCTGGAGGCTTGGAATTATATTTTAGATGATTTAATTGAGGTTCAGAAAGGTAAGGTGAGTTGCTTATAAGTCACATTATGGCTTAATTTGAAATTCTCAGAGGAATAAATTTCTTTTTTTCTTGCTATTGAGACAGGAGGACACCAATTTGCACTGTAATTTCATTTCTCCTTCCAATAATTCAGGAAATTTGTTATTAAACAATGTCCAAGTATTAGAATCTCAATTTCCGAAGATATTGCTACATGCTAGAAATAAGGAATTTTTGTTTTCATTTAAATTTTTTGGACTGCAGGGTGGTGGGGGCCATCAATTACCATAGCTAATTTCTCCCTGAACTGTATTTAAAAGCCATTGTACACAACCTCTGACATAATACTTTGTCATGCTCAATCTCTGATGAACTAGCTGATCAATATATCACAATATAATGTGTCAAGTATTATTGTCAGTATCCTACAGTGGCCAGGTAAGCATCCTGTTAGGTTTTGAAGAAAACCTAACAAAGAAATACAAAATGAAAATGCTCAATTTTATTTATTTCTCATCACACCATGGGCCTGGCAGAAGTATTGCTTGCATATTATCTGAATCTATCTATAAGTCATGAAGTTTTTGGTGGTGAAGAAAAAAAAAGGATTACTGTGTGGATATATTTAACTACTGGCATCTAATTAGACCGCCAAAAAAATCTGGGCACATTTCACTTACAAAGTTAGTAGGAGGAGAATTGCATATTTGACCTTCCGTCACTTAATCAAAACTTCAACAGTGCAAGGGGGTGTTGACTTTTGAGTTCTAAAATGTATAATACACAAAAGCTAGTTTGATTGCAGGGTTAAATATTGAAAGTTTCCATGATAAAAATTCCGCATAACCACATTAGCATTTCAAATTGTGTGTACATGGATTCTCATTTAACTCAAAACACTTTTAAAATTTCCACTCTGAATACAAAAGTTAAAACTTTATATAAAGAACAAGACAAGTTAGGACAGATCTGCAAGCTACAACAGTTTGCAAATTTCTTAGAACAAGAATATATGACTGTTTTTTAAAATTACATTTTACTGAGGAAAAAGAGGAGTAGTTTACGAACACTGAAAACATGGTAGGTGTTTAAAGGAAATAGAAATTGGACTAAATAAATAATGGCTAACATTTTCGGGGAAAACTTCCCCAGTTCCTGGCAAAACTAGTAGCTTAAATTACAACCTTGGACCTGCTTCAGATCTTGGTGAGGTGAAAGGGTTATTGCTCAAAAATAAAGAACTAAAAGACAAAGAATAAAAAAAGTATCCCCAAACTTATTTTTAAGGAAGAAGAATGTTTTCATTAGGAACTTCCACTCCGAAAAGATACAAGGCTTTTGCAATAAGAGGGCTCAGTGAACACTTGAAACTGGAATGAAGACCAACCTCAATTTTGACAGCTCCTTTACCCCATGCTTAACGCCGCCTATGACAAGGGAGAAACTGAAAATGCTCGCGTACACATTCTGACACACACTTGCCCCTACCCATACCGCTTAGAGTTAAAGTTGTCCTTTGTCTCTCACCCCACCTCCACAAACACTCAGCAATCCTAGAAAGAATTAGAGTCACAGAATTTCATCCACGTCAAAAGGAAAGAAAGGATAGTTAAATCTCCTGTCCTCGCTTACCCCACGTGTCTGCTCCGCCCCTGTGTAGGATATATGCCTCCCTGAAACTGGGGACTGGGCGCCTGCCCCTTGTTGATCACCAGCCCCCTACACGTTCCCCAGGAGATGACATCGGGTCCCAGGGGATCTCCTCAAACTCCCTCCAACCTCCCTGCAGGATAAGCGGTGCAAGGTCAGAATGGATGGAACACTGTGTGGCATGCGAGGATGCAGAGGGGCATGGGGCGCGGCAGGCAGGCAGAAGGTGGAGTGATGAGACAGAACCGAGGAGACCGGGCAAACCCGATGGACTGCACAGAGGGGCCCTCCCGGGGCGCCTTCTTTTTGTCCTCTGCCACAGGCTCCCTTTCCTTCTCTCTGCCTCCTCCAACCGCTCTTCCCAACCCTAGCAGGCAGTCAGGAGCGGAATGGGGACAGTTACCTTGCCGGTCAGGATCTGAGCTCGGACGGTACGGCTCACGAGGGCCTCCACGTCTTGCCGCGCCTCCTCCTTTTGCACCGCAGTCGGGGTATTGAAGGCGATTTTCACCATGGTGAATCTTCGGGCTGCGCGGTAAGGCGCCGCTCGAATAAGCGTCCTGGGCTGCAGATTGGAAAACAAGGAGATCGCGCTAGACTAAGCAGCACTTACTTTCTCCCCAGTTTGCCTAAAGCGGCTGCAAGCCCAGGTCTGGTGATACTTAATGACGCAGTCCCAAGCCGAGTGGGAGACCGTGGGCGGGTCGGGGAGGTGCTGAGGGAGGAGCAGTAGGGGGCCCAAGTGCTGGAGTTGCGGGTGGGGGGTGGGGAGTTGCCAGTGGCGGAAGAGAAGGGGAAGTGGAGCCTTTGGCTGGCTCAATCTGGACGCGCCTCACCTGCACCCCAGGCGTGCTCCCACCCACTTTCTGTGCCTTCAGATAAGAGCAAGACAGGAAGGAAGCCTGGCGCGTCCGTGTCTTTCTGCCTGTGTCCAGCCCACTATCGCCCCTGACTCTGACAATGTTTTCCCAAACTTGGGCCTCGCCCCCTGCGGGACTTAGAACTGTAACTTGGCAGCACCTCAAGCTTCCTTAGCTCTGCACCCGCCCAAACCTCAAAAGCACAGTTCCACCACGGTCTGCACCTTTATAATAATGCCTTCTGTTAAAAGGACACCTAGAAGCCTGTTTATAGTTACTTGGTTCATTCTCTCAACCTTTTTTTTTTCTTTCTTGAGTTTGTTTTGTAATTTCAATTTTCCAAGCTAAAGCAATGCTAGATCTGGAAAGATGGGGCTCCTGCTTCTCCAATTTCCCATTTTGCAGATAGGACATGATGAGACACAGAGAAGGGTGGAAAGCTTATAATGAATCCCTGAAATAATCCAGATCTTTTCACTCTCCCTGGTCAGGGAAACTAGAGTAAAGTCTCAGCCTAGAGTCTGTTTCTTTTCAGCCACCAATTGTGAAACCTGCAGGGAGAAAAATCAGAGGTGTGTGTGTACCTATGTGTTTAGGGAGTTGGAGGTGGGGGTGGAGGATACGAAATTTAGGAAGATTGTACTACAGCTCTGGGGAAGGGGGAGTAACAAATAGTAACCTCAAAAGGGCTAAATTAGAAATCATTATTGGATCATTTACATATGTGGCCAGTGTAATCAAGCTATTTCTTTGCAGTCAGTTCTTCCAGGTTGCTGATAAAGAATCCCACCAAGTGAAGTTCAGGCTTTGGAGGTTAGTGACTAAGGCAGTAGTGGTACAGACTTTATAAGTAGTTCTGCTACAGAAGACAAGAGAAAGGTCTGTTGTGTGAAGGCAATAACATCGAAACGACAATAACAAACAAAACAAAACAGGTTTTGCTAGAAAATTCTTCATCTATCCATCTACTTAACTAAAGAGACTTGAATATGTTAAGAGTCACCACCACTCCATCCAAGAAATTCCAGCTTGGAGTTTTTCCCACTGAGGTTTCCTTGACTCTGAAGCCTGTCGCCTGTCTCCACTGTGGGAGCTTTGTGAAGACAGCCTTCATTTTCTCGGATAGGCCACAGATGGGAAGGTGGATGGAGGGGAACAGTAAGGAGCCTGTGCCTTACATAGAGCCAGAATTTTATAAAGCAGGATGTTTGAGTTTGCTTATAAATATTGGCATCCTATGTTTTCATTTATTCTTGCTTAAGTCTGCCCATTATAATTTAACATTTATCAGGCAATCTTTAGCATAAGGAGAGGAAATCTCAACTTCCTAGGATGTTCCTCTTTACAGTTACCTTCTGTTTGCCATCACCTTTGTGACAACTCAGCGAGGTGCTAGTCTGGCCCTGTGATCCACACCACATGGATGGATGAAAAAATAGTTTATCTTACACTTACCTACCAAGTGCAAGGTGCTAGATGGGAAGTATAGTAATATATTATCTTAGTATATCTTCCCTGAAATGTGGTCACACAGGAGGAACAGGGATTATTTTTCATATAAATAGACCCAAACTCTAATAACAACCAAGGGAGTATGCCATCGGTTGCTATGTACGTAACATTGAACAAATCATCTAATATCCTCAGGCCTCAGTTTCCTCCTTTGTGTCCTGTTGCTATGAGGATCATGTGGGATAATGTAGGAGGAAACACTTTTCAAATTATTATGAAAAAGGTAGAAAAGTGAAATGGTTGGTTACCCTGGGATTCTTATTTTTCCTGTAACATACCCATATTTCAGGCTTATAGAAAGTATCTATTTTTTTTAATCCTTGAACTATTCTTTAGCATCTAGACCTGCTTAAGATCCCACAGTATCTGAATATAGGTCTTCTTCGAAAAGGCCAAACTTCTAAAAATAGTCACATAATTGACACCTAACTTCTCATGGATTTTGAAGAATTTGGCCATCTTGTATTTGCTAACACCATGTCCCCTTTTAGAAAGGGCACCCGTATCTCTATGAAGGTCTTTACTATTGTTAGACATATGTGATGCAGGCATGGTCTCAAGTTGGCTGACACTGCTGTTACCCTCTCAACATATGTAAGTAATACTTGTGTTACAATCATAGAATGGCAACAACACCCATTATTAATATCCATTTCAGGAAGGTCAAATAGTTCCTACAGTTTTTTTGAATTTCAAAATGTGAGCTACCACTTGATCATTGGATTGAAACTAGTGGCAAACACATTTCCATCTACTAAAAAATGGTTCCCATTGGCTGAGCTTTTTTTGTATTCTCTCCTTCGCAGCCACATATTATTGTTTCTTAGAATCAATTTCTCTCACTTTCTTGTCTTCAGAAACTGGGGATCTGGCTACCATGCTGATTCTAGCTCACATTGTTAATCATGTCTGAATGGATACCACTCAAGTTTATAAATGACCTCCCTGTTCTCACATGCCAGATGATGACTAAATTTTCACAACTTAGGCTGAATGGAACATGGAATACAACTGGATACCAAGCAACAACACCACCTCTCTTTGAATGATCTTCTGAAATTGCCACACATACAATCACACAAAGATGAAGCTATTAGGGGCATCTGTGACACTATTTCACTCATTAACATGTGTCTTCATTAATCAAATATTTACTCAGGGTGTACTATGTACCTTGTGCTGTGATCAGCATGGGACTACAATGGTAAGCAAAGCAACACAATTTTGCCCTCATAGAGCACATCATCACTGCACCAATGGCAATGATATGTTTTTCATGAGTTCTCCGGTTTTTGTAGTGGGAACACTGGCCCTATGCTGTGGAGTAGGATATAGCAGTTCTACAAACCAGCAGAGTAGCTCTGTCCACAGCCAGTGCTGCTAGGAATGTTTAAATCCATAGCTCACCTGCAATGGATTCACACTCGGCACTTTATTTAGGAAGATTAATCTAATAGCAAATGCATTGGGAAATCAGTTAAGGAGCACTCCTATATTCCAAATGACAGGTGGTGGACTACACTGATGATTGAGATACTGAAAATAAAGGGACAACTTTCAAAGACATTTGGGAGTCATATTTTACAAGGTCTGGTTCTGAAATGAATCATATGAAGGTGAAACATTAGAAAAAATTTGTTTTAAAAGACTGGGAATCACAGACTGGGAAAATGGTGGTGCCCTTGATAACAATACCAAACATTCATTGAGTACACCAAATGCCAGATTTCTGTGCTAAGTTCGTTAAATTGACTATGTTATCTAAACTTTACCACAACTCTGTTAGGTATTATTATGTACCTCATTTCACTGATGAGGAAACTGAATTTCCGAGAGGTTAGACAACTTGCCTAAGGTCAAATTCTAAACCAGGTGGTCTGATTTCAGTGTTTATAGTCTTAATCGCTATATTTCCTTGCTGCCATTAAAAGAAATGTGAAAATCAAGAAGGGGTCTGGTTTGAAAGTGAGGGAAATAATCAGCATATTCTCTAGGGCAATGAGGCATCAACCCCCCGCCCATATTGCAAACAGAAATTCCTGCTTAGGATTTGTTAAGAACTACATACATTTGAAACTCTTTTAAAACTTTCGTCACCTATCCATGACTATAGGCTACTCGTTCTAAAGCTCATTCCTTCTGGGTTCTGCAATTGCTTCTGTCAACAAAGAAGCAGAAGCAGCTACACAAAGACCTGACCAGCCATATGTTTTTGGGTATAATGCCAGGAGTCTGGTTTAGATGTTTAAAAAGCCAGGCCATTTTCTAGATCCACTGTGTCCCTGTACATGTAGCTTGACCCTGGAGCAGAGGTAGGGATCCCCACTGAAGGTAACAGAAGAAACTTGCTTTCAGGAATAGATTCTTGTTTCTCTATTTAATGTTTTCTCTGTAGACTAGTGAGCTATGATAATAGGAAAATGGAACATTTTCTTAAATATGAGAATGGATTCCATCATCCCTTTACAATAATATGGTCGTATCTTTGCGATTGAGAAGTTGTGCACCACCCTAATTTATAAAAATCACTTTTCTTTTCTCATTTGGGGGAACTGAAAAATTCAGTGAAAATGTTTGCACTTTCAATGTACCTTTTCTAAATTATGAAAAAATTCTTATTATAGACTATCTTTCAGGAAGTTTTTAAAAAATTGAGCTTTGAAACAGTATTTAAAATGTCTTATCTGATGAGATTTTTACAGAAGTCCTGACTAATGCAAGTGAGAAATTCAAATTTAGCTCCAGTAATGCTTTTGAGAATATCCAGTTGGTTCAGCTACTCCATAATTTAGCACCAAGTGATAGTAAGGTGTCTTTGTGACTTCAGAGTTAGGTTCCTATTCAATGAGAAGTACAAGCACTTGCATTTATATATGATTGCTAAACCAAATATTCTTTTTACCATCATGTTTAGTTTTTTGATGGCTCAACATAATTCTGTTCCTAGTTTAGTCTTAAAGTACACAAGGTCACAAGTTGTTTTATGTCACTTAATTCACCTTGATTGTTCTTGAAATGCAGTTGTGTTTTTGATTTTCATCTTATTATTTTTCTTTGAAATTAACTCCAATTTATTCATATCCAAGAGCCTTAAACTATTTCAAAATATGATGGTGTCTTAATAATATGGAAGCCAGAGGGCATACACAACAAAGAATGCTCTAAATTTGTAGTCAGGTCGATGGTACATACTTCACTTCTTCCTGTAATTTCCCAACAAATTAAGTCAGATCATGAATAGAAAATCCTGCTTGAGAATGCCCCAAGTCAAACTCAAGGTTCACAGAAGGTGCTGTTTATACCTCAGTTTGGTTGCCATGTTTCTGTGCTAGTGCAAAAGGGAGGTCCTACACAAAGGAACATTGTAGTGTATGATAGCTTCTGTGCTGTTTTTCATCAACACATCAATTATAGTTCCTGACTTTCATGTTAAGAGAATTATCTTCTCAGAGTTTTAATTTTTATTTCAG